TAGAGGAAAGACATGTTTTAAAGGTGCCATGATCTGAATATCACATATGTATGCAGCTTATGCTGAACAGTAAGTGAAATCTGTGCCGTCCTGTAAACTTCCTAACAACAAAAAGATCCCCTGATACAAAAATGCAATTATTCTTATTCTGTATGAAACAGCTGTTTTTTATGTGTTTGTTTTGTTTCAGTGCAGGGACAAACGGGACCCGTAAAGCTACGTTAATATGCAGCCGTGATGAGACCTTATGTAAATCTCGTCTTAAATTGATCTCAGCGTGCTGTACTTGCTTTTCAGTTCACATGTATGTTTTGTGGAGGGGCTGCTGCTCATGGAGATGCAGGCACATCAAACCAAAACAGGGCTGTAAAACTCTGGGGCTGCGCTATTTAAGCACAAGGCCACCAGACACTGAGGGTTTGTTAATTATTTACTTTTTGGTCAGTCAAAAATCAATCAGTCGACTCAATTTAAACAGGGTCCACAACATTTGTTTGATAAATTATAATGTTAAGTCTGAGTGATGTAAAGGCAAATTTGCATTGCTGATAAGATTTCATTGCCTCTCTGAGCTAGTTTGATGATCTTTTTAAGTATACCAACAAACTAAAGCTCTTTGACATCATTATGAACTTAATTCGTATCTGTTACACCCCAAAAACAGGGGCATTGCTAGCATTTTAGTTAGTTTAGTTTAGTTTTCTGTGGAGTGTGTCTAAGAGGACCAAGTGAAAATCAGTGAGTCCACAGTAAGTCATAACATTGGATCAGAAATAAAGGTTGGAAAACACTTGGGACAAATATTTCAGGCTCATGTGCAAACCTGTGCCTTCATATAGATGGTATTACCTAAAAGGTGGGACTGCACAAGATCTCCTTTCTGCATTAAAAACTGTTTAGAAAAGCAAAACTCATAATCCTAGTTAAGTAACAGTATGAAAAGTTTAGCAACATATATACTCAGTATTCAGTAGTAAAAATGGCTTTTTCGTCATGAGTGCAAAAATACACTACTGTGCAAAAGTCTTGAGCCAACGCTGGTTGTTTTCAAGGAGTCAGACTTTCTTGTAATGTTAAGGCCTTGAACCACTTTGAGGCTTTTGTTGAACATTGGCTGTCTTTTTTTTTTTAAATTTACTTTCAGTCCAGTCAATGTACCTGACCATATTTTTTTAATTTCACAAAATTAGGTTTTTATTTGTTTTCTCACTTTCTTACAAAAACATATAATTTGTTCCAATTCATTTAGCTTAAGTTACAAAAATGAAAAGAATAACACAGTTTGACGGGCATAAATAGTATTTTTGGACCAACAAGGTGATGCACTAAGAGCTAAAAACTTGCTGTAGATTACAGTACCATGACATACTGTGAGCCCTCAAAAAAAAGTTGGACAAATGGAGGGCAAAGGAAGAAATGACAACTTAAAAAAAACTAATTAAGACAAACAGTATCTAAAAGTCATGTCCTTAAAAAATAGAAAAAGTCCAGTAAAGACCTGACACAGAACCTGAGAGATGCTTCTGGTCCTTCAGCTGACCTGTCAATTTATCAGATATGTTCTCAGTATAAGTGTGGCTATTAATAAAGAAGAAAAATAAGGAGATGATGGAAATATGAACACAAAAAAATCCCATCAGTTTTTGCTCTGGCATGTAGTACCGTCCACAAAGTGTCATCTTCTAATCATCTTAATTTTTCAGTGAGCAAATGATCCCAAACACACTGCCAATACAGCAAAAGCATGCATGGGTAGAAAAACACACAATGTAACACTATCAGTCATGGATTGGCCTCCCCAGACCCCAGATCATTAAAGCAGTTTGGGATCATCTTGACAGAAAACACAACAAAAGGCAGAAACATCAAAAGAAGAGCTTTGAATGTCCTTCAAGAAGCCTGGAGAAATATTCCTGAAGACTATTTAAAGAAATGACATGAAAGCTGAGTAAGAGATTTGAGACTGTGTTGGACAATAAAGGTGGTCATACCAAATATTGACTTTCAAGCTTGCTGGAATTGTAAGAGCTTTGTTTTTGACTTATATCTCCAGTTATGTTTCTACACATTTCAACTAATAAACTATTTCGAATTTTCCTAGCAAATATTTAAAAAATTAAGGAAGACTAAAGAATTCTGCACAGCACTGTCCATCCATCCATCCATCCATCCATCCATCCATCCATCATCCACTTTCTTCTTCTTATCTGGGGCCAGGTAACAATGGCACCAGCCTAAGCAGAGAAACCCAGACCTCTTTCTCCTCAACCAGTTCGTCCACATCTGGGGGAACACCAAGGCATTTCAAAGGCACAATACTATGCATTATATTATTAGGTTATAATTAACAATTCATTAATGGGTATATTACTTTAATTGTTTTACATACTGGAGGATTGTGTAAATAACACACATGTAATAATATAGCATAATATATTTCTATAGCTTTAAAAATCAGCAAAATAATAATGAATCTCTTCAGTCTCCTCAGCCTATGTAGAGAGAGGGCTGTATTTGATTTCATGTGTTCAGATTTGTGTGATGTGGGTGAAAGGAATTGAGCTACACCAGATGTGAAGTCCTTGAAGGCAGCTAAATAGATATAAAACTCCAGTGGGATATTTGGTTTAAATACATCCAATTATTTATTTAGCTTGTACGAGAATGAAAGGGAATGAAAGAATGAAAAACAATAGTATAAAGAAAATGACATTAGCCCAAAAGGTGAGCCCTGGGGCGCACCATGCCAGAAAGAAGGTGTCATTAATTGCAAGTGAAAACGTTATATATGACAGTTAAAATGAGATGTTCAGGGCAACGATACCAAACAAAAAGAAGCTCTCGCACTCTCGCTCTCGTGCCCAGAGGGAGAAATGCTCATGATTAATATGTCATGGATTACTCATACCAGTGGGGGGAGCTGTTCCATGTGTCTGAGTGAAAGACTGTCTGGATGATACAGCAGTGTTGGGATGCCGTCGGTTTCCAAAGAGGGCACCCTTCCTTTTTTGTTCCTCCCTAAAGCATAGTCACAAGCTGAAGGAGAATACAGCACTTGTTTTTGATTTCATAATTCTGCTCCATTTACTGCAAACAAGCAGTCACTTTTTATGCAGGGAAGAGCCTTCCTCAAAAAGGAAAGCGGTGTAAATGTCAGACTTTTCGCCTTGATATAATACTCTTTTAATTCCCCATCTTTTTTTTAAAGCAAGGACGTGCACTTTCCCCGCTTCCTTGTCCTCTAACAATGCATACAGTCACAGAGTTTATTTTAAGCAACTTGATTTAGGGCTTTAATCCTATCTTCTGATTCCCGGCCACAAAGTGACATCATCTGTCCGTATCAGGTTACAGATGTTGGGCTCTGAGAGTGCTTGGATTTTAGCAGACGTTATTCCAAACAGGAAAAAATGTTACAGAGACAGCTTCAATAGGCATGGATATAACACTGCTACTTGCTCTCTGCAACCTGAAAGTACAGGATTAGGAAAGAGGTAAAAATATCAAAATATCACCTATGATTTGGAAAATGTATGGCTAACAAATTCACAACTGTGATGTCAATTATAATTAGGGTGTTCTTCTTCCCACTGTCGCCAAAGTGCTTGCTCATGGGAGGTCATATGACTGTTTTGATTTGATTGTAGGGTCTACCTTACAATATTAAGCGGACTGCTGTTGTGATTTGACGCTTTATAAATAATTGAATTGATTGAATAGATTAA